AGCTATAAACAAAAACTGCCAGCTAAATATTTTAATTTACAATTTTGAAAACAAGATTAACATTTTGTAGAGAAGTCAACTTTAGATCTAGATCACACTCTCCTCCAGTAGCCTCAAGCAACTGAGCACAGGTCTACACTCATGTTTACTGATATGTGATTCGGTGGGACAGGATTTTTTTTTTCTCACCTTCAAATTTAGTAAAATATATTTCTTAGATTATAAGTGAAAGTTTGAAAGTCACAATTTAAGTCCTCCGGACTCAGCCAAAATTTGAATAATTTTCCTTTTTCACCATCTCACTCTGAAGTTGCTGGCACCTGCTCCCATCTTCCTGTGAAGACAGGCACCTCTAATCCCCACTGTGCCCAGAGCACTGAAGAGGAATATACACACCTGCACACACAAACACATTATCAGCTTGTTGGGCTACATGTTGATCTTCAAGGAGTTTGTTTGGTGTGACTCAGGACCCACATGGGATGATCTGCTACAAAACACATTTTCTAGAAGCTTTTCTCCAATCAAGCCTGTGGCTGCAGTGGGAGCTGTCATGTTCGTATGATGTGATTAATCCTTGGCCACAGTTTAATGAAGAAGAGCTGGACACCTGACCCAATCCAAGTGGACATGCTCCTTTCTTCAGGAATGTATTTGGGTGAGTCTGATAGGAGAAACACTGCATCTCTCTTCAGGGTGCTGGACTACAGCTTATACATACTGCTGGCTCACCGGGCCAGGTGGAGTTGAGAGAAAGAAGGGGCCCCAGAGCTCTCAGTCCAAGCTTTGTCCCAGAGCTCCAGTGTATTCTACCCTTGGAGCCAGATCTTCCCTATACATTCCCTCTCTTTGGTTCTGGACAACTAGAGTAGGCTTCTGTCATATGCATCCAGCAGAGTGGTACCTATGTATCCGGAAGGAAATGCCACAGGGGCCCATGCCCAGCCCCCTCCCCAGCATGGGAAACCCTGAGCCCAGAGAGTCCATCTGCCCTGCTCAAGAGGATGTCACTACCCAGCTGCAGCACTGGGCAGAGCCAGGGTACAAGATACTTCACCTGGATTTGAAGCCCATGGTGGAGGGCTTGATCTGACCTACAGGATAAGGACAAAATGATGTGAGGGTCAGAGGACAGGGGAACATCGGCTGAGCCTCAAATTGTTGAGGTTCTTGGGCACTCAATGAGGACAGGAAGGAGAAGAGATGCGAAGTTCAGGAGAGTAAGTCATGTCTGGGTTGCCAGCCAGAGCACTGGGCAAAGTGTGGGCTCAGTGTGCATGGAAGGAAAAGGGCGAGGAAGGCAGAAAAGTCTGGGGTGAGGGTGGGGATGAGATGAATGACTCTTGAGGGAGGGCGGAGGTGGTTTATGACAACCCTGCAACTGAGAAAACAATGTGGTCTACATCAGGCATTTGAGAAACTAGCATTAGCACCAGGTGTCTAACTTCCAGGTCCTCCAGAGGTGATCCCAAGGACAAAGCTAGCATATGTGAACCAGTCTAATTTTACCAAGTTACCACAGGACCAGGAGGAGTCAGCAAAGAGAAAGTCCCTCAAATTAACACTGGTTATTTAAGGCAATTTTAAGATTTTCTTTGCTTTCTGTAAATACAAAGATAAATGTGCCTAGATATTCATTGCATTATATGATAGCAACATTTCAGGAATAATCTGTGTGACTCACAACGGCATAGGGGGCCATTCGCTTATTCATTCAACATACACAGCATACAATGCTTTTTTTTATATATCTGCTCCCTGAGAATAAAAAGACATGGAAAAGGGGCTGCAAGGCTGTACCCCAAGTGGTAACTTTTTGTGGTTGGCAGCCCTCTGCTTTGGCTGATGTTTTATGTATAGTTTTGAAAGAATGAAAGTAAAACACCCTGACCCAATCAAAGGGGGAGCAAGGCCTGTAAATCAGCTTCCACAGCCAAGGTTTCACAAAACTCTGACTAGGATTCATATATTTAAAAATTATCCTTCCACCCTGGCCTGGTAGCTCATTTGGTTAGAGTGTCATCCTAACACACCAAGGTTGCAGGTTTGATCTCTGGCCAGGGCACATAAAAGAAGCAACCAATGAATGCATTAAAAAAAAAAAAAAAAAAAAGTGGAACAAAAATTGATGTCTCTCTCTCTCTTAAATCAATTTAAAAATGTTTTAAAAAGTAATTACCCTTCCTTTCAGATGACATGGCATCTTCTAGGGGAATTTTAGAGATTAATGGGGAAGGGGATAACCTAGTTCTTTGCCAACCCCACCACCCAACAAATAATGCCTGCTAGACTTACCTGTAACCCATGAGCCCTCAGTGGCCATCCCATACCTGCAGGATGATGCCTGGGCTGGTAGACTAAGCCAGAGGCTGATTTCTTATAGCCAAATTGACCATCACACGCAGGTGATGAAGAAGCATGGAGAAAAACTTTACTGTGTGTAACTGTGATGAGTAATTTTATGCATCAACTTGACTGGACTGAAGGATGCCTAGATAGTTGGATATCTCTGGAAGAGATTAGCACTTCGTTCACTAGACAGAGTGAGGCTCCACCCTCACCAATGTGGGTGGCATCATCTAATCCAATCCTGTGACAGCAGAATTCTCTCTTCTGCCCTCGGCCATCAGAGCTCCTAGTTCTCAGGCCTTTGACTGACTGAATTACACCACCGGCTCTCCTGGGCCTCCAGCTTGCAGATCATGGGACTTCTCAGCCTCCTATAATTTAATCCCTCTGACACATCCCATAGATATCAGTATACATCCGATTGGCTCTGTTTCTCTGGAGAACACCTGACTAATTAGTAATAAAAGGTTTTCTGGACTTCCAGTTAAGATGGTGGCACAGGTAAACACAGCTCACCTCTTTGCACAACCACATCAAAATTACAGCTATACTATAGAACCACCATCACTCAGAACCATCAGAAATTTAGCTGAATGGAAGTCCTACAATTATGGAATTAAAGAAACCTCATGGTGATTGGTAGGACGGTCAGAGCCACAGAACAGGCTAGTCCTACACCCAGGTGTGGCTGATAAAAATCAGGAGTGCTATCTCAGGAGTGAGGGGTCCCAGGTCCCCAGCCCAGGGTTCCAGTGTCAGATAGATAAGCCCCCATAACTTTTGGCTATAAAAATCAGCAGGAATTGAGGCTGTGGAAGACAGAAACTGCTAGAGTATCAGGCTGTTCTTAACGGGCCCATGCACACAGACTTAATTGGACTCATTTCTTCTGAGCTCCAGTGTGTAGGCAGCAGATTGAAAGGCATCAGAGACATACAGGGAGGAACTGAATTGTCCGTGCCATCAGAGCAAGAACTGGGGGGTCAGCTTTCTCCCACACAGAAGTGCTAGCACAGGACATTGTTCCTTTTCTGAGCCCTCCCCACACAGAGCCACAGAGCCCACAGGCGGGCACTATATCTGAGGCTCCCATCTACTTGGCTCACATTTTGCCCCACCCTGATGATTCCCTGAGGCCCTGCCCCACCCAACTTTGGGGCCCACCCAAGCTGTTTCCACTGCTTTTCATATGAATGGCTTGTCTTGGCCCATGCTTCAGATTTTCCTAAATTCTCTGTTAAGCAGCATCTGGCTTCAGTGAGCCCCTTAACTCTTGCTAAATTGCCCCAGGCCCAGCACTAGCAGTAGCCAGCCTTGGTTCACAGCTTGGCCTTGCCTGGGCACCTCCAAGCCCAGCACAAGTAGCAGCCATCTGCAGATCACTTTGTAGCTTATGTTGTGTGACCCCAGACAGAACACAGGGGGTGGCTGACCCTGGATGTGCCAACAGCAATCAAGGCTATCCTTTAGAATTGAAGGTCAGATAAAGAGCTTCCCAGACAAGAAAAAGCTAAAGGAGCTCACCACCACCAATCCAGTATTATGTGAAATGTTAATGGGTCTTCTTGAAGAAGATCAAAAATATGAACAATAAAATGGCAATAAATACATACCTATCAACAATTGATTCTAAAACACAAAGTAAACAAACAAGCAGGAACAGAAACAGAATCATAGATGGTTGCCAGATGGGAGGGGGGTCAGGTGGATGGGCAAAAAAGATGAAAGGATTAAGAAGTACAGATTGGTATTTACAGAATAAACATGCAGGTGTAAAGTACAGTGTAAGGCATAGAGTAGCCAAAGACTATATATGCATGACCCATGGACACGGACAACAGTGTGGGGATTGCCTGAGAGAGTGGGGGAGGCTGAGTGGAGGGGGGCAAAGGGGGAAAATCTGGGACAACTGTAATAGGATAAACAATGAAATATAATTTAAAGAAATAAAAATTAAAGGCTTATCCCTGAAACCTGTACCTCAACTACGTATCCCAACTTTCAAAAGGGGCAGGGCCTGCTCTTTGACGGTGGTATCCCCACCCCCATGAGGCCATCCCCCAGGGCCTGCGCCTTAGAGGACAGCAGGCCCAAGCTCTCTGGTATATGGAAAGGGGATTCAGGCTGCCTCTGCCTCTCACTGGCCAGGTGTCCCTAGTAACTGCTTTTACTGTTTTGTCTTGTCCCCCAAGAAATATCCTAAGAACCCATTCTGCCTTGCTGGTGAACTTGATGCTACCACACTCTGTTCCCCTTGATGACAAAGAGCACCTTTGCTCCCTCTGCCAGATGGTCTCCCAGCTGGGATGGTCCTGGGGTTTCCTGGCCACTCCCTTTGCACCTGTGGGGAGGCGGTCTCTTCATCGAATGAAGGGACTTGAACAAGGGACAAGTGAACATGGTCATCTGGGGCAGAGGGCTCATGCTCAGCACTTGAATGGCAGTGGGAACTTACTGAGAACAAGGACCTCGCAGGGTTAAGGCCTCCTATCACCAGGAGAGCAGACAGCCTCTCCTTGCCTCAGAGTAGGACCCACATGCCTGAGTACAGGAAGGGATTTCAAGCATTAGGTAGGAAGCATTTTTTCTGAACTCTCCACAGGAAAAAGCAAAGAAACATACGCGTTACCTCTAAATGATGAGATCACCAATTATTATTTTTTTCCAAGTATCTTCCTTCTAAAAGCTTTTGCGAATTCCAATGAATAGACGTTTTTACAGTAGATATATTTTTGAAGGAAATGCATTTTCCAGCAGAGCTCTAGGACCTGTGCTTATACAAATGGGTGGTACCAACAAAGCGGGAAGGAACTGTGTGTGCCCAGCCAGAGGGCTGACGTACAGTTTTGAGGGCCTCAAACCTTGGGGAACCCAATGGATGCAGGCCGGGACTAGGCAGAGCAGGCAAGTGAGATAGCCCCCAACCCTAGATCAGGGGGTGAGGGGCATACTCCAGCATCCAGTCTGTACCCTCTCTCAAGGGAGCTCTGGAATGCCGACCACCCCCGGCAGAAATGTGTGGTGTGGTTAGGTAAGCAGGCTCGCCTCATTGCTTGGTCACGCCCACCCATGCACAGGAGATGGGGCCATGGGAAGGGAAGGTGAACATAGCACACCTCCCAGAGGAGGAGTCAGTCTTTGCTTCAGCTGCTCTGCTGGGGTGGTTGGTTTGGAGCTCTTAGCTGGGTGAGAGGCAGGTCCCAGGAATCCGAGAGTGGGCTGCAGGCCAGCCTTCCCTTCAGAATGCCTTCTCTGCCTCAGCTGTCAGGCGCCTGTTAGAAATGCCAGCAGACACCAAGGTCAGAGGACTGAAAAGCACCAGGGTCCGTCTCCTACATAGCCTAGGGGGCTGTATCTGCCACCTGGGCAGCACCCACAAATGGCTGGGAGAGGGTAGTGGCCAGCCAAGCCTGTGTCCCCCCTCGGGGGCAGACACCAGCAGTCCCTCCTACCTTCTTCCAGAGCTCCGCTAGGTGAGTGCTCCTCACCCCAGTGACTGGTTTACCAGCCCAGGCACCCTCCCCCGCCCCCCAGCTGCCTGGTTGCTCAGGGAGTCAAAATGTGCCTGATGGCAACCAAACCAGAGGGCCTCAGAAGATGGGCTTCTCAGCATCACCTGTGCCCACAAACTCGTCTCCAGGGAGGATGGCAGGGGCAGGGGGAATCATTGCAGAAAGCTGCTCCAAACTTGGCCTCACAGTGTGACTGAACTGTCAACTTCTGGGGTGTCTCTTCACCATACCATGCCTCCTCAGATGGGACAGGAGACAGCCAAAGTCCTAAAGCATTCCACCACTACCCTGTGTTGGGGACCCAGGAAGTTTGGAGGGCAGAAGGGTTCAGAGGCATGGGCAGGCCCTCAGCCTTCCTCAGAGGAAGCTGTTGCTCAGAGAACCAGGACGAGGGGGCCTCATGTAGCAGCTACACCACTGAGATTGGAGGGGAGGAAGGAAAGGCAGTGAACAATGGCACCCTCCCCATTCCCATGGACTCAGCCAGCCCTCAGACCTCCAGAGAGGGTCACCCAGGGGAGCTCCCAAAGAGAAAGAGGGTCCTGTCTGCTACAAGCAAATAGTGCCCATCCTGGTTTGCGGGCATCCCTGAGGTTCGGAATGCAGCTCTATTGGGCCGGGATCACTACCAGCACCACCCAAGCAGACCCCTCCCCAGCCTTGCCCAATACATGACCTGGTCTGTTGAGGTAATGGAAGCCCAAAAGTGCTGAAGAACACGTCTAGAAATATGCCCAAGGAATTGAGGGGAAATGAATCAGGGCCCAGATAGCTACCATCAGCCCACCAGGTGGGGGTTTTGGGAAGGGTGCCAGGGACACAAGTGACCCCTCCAGAAGGTGTGAGTGGCACATCACCTAGAGCTTAGCAGAGAAGGATGCAAAATCCGCCAGCAACTTGATGTCATTAGGGAGGGTCAGCCACATTCCGCCATCAACCACCAGCAGGGCCCCTGTCACGTACGATGCCAAAGGGCTGGCCAGGTAGAGCACACTGTGGGCGATCTCTGTCTTGTTCCCCAGCCTCTGCAGGGGGCTGGCCAGGAACTTGCTGGTTTGGGAGCCACCTGGGAGGGTCAGCCCTCATGAGTCTCAGGACCCCAGGGCCCTCCACCCTCCCCTGCCCAGCTTTCCCTAAACCACATGTGAGAATGTCGTGGGCATTGTTAGCATCATCCTGGAGGAACAGAACAGGCCAGGTACTGAGTAACACTGGCACAGAATCAGCACAGGGCTTTTCGATGTACACCTTGCCAAGGCTCTGGAAGCTTCACTGGGTGCCCCACTTTGTGACTGACTCATACATCAAGGCCAGCAGTCCTGTGGCCTCTGCCTCAAGGGAACAGCTGCCCAAGTATGGCCGATCATTGGTCCACTGCAGCTATGTGCTAACCACAAATGGCCCTCTCCTGACTTGAGGACAAACTCTTTACCAGCCCCAGGGAGCCATGAAGACCAGGCACTTGTCCCAGACTTGCCCCAGTTATGTGGGAGGGGAGCCCATGGAGGCACTGTGCGGCCTGTGCCTAGGGGAGCATCCCAAGGGGCCTGCGCTCCCTGAGAGCCTTACCTAGCCGCCGGAACCCCTCTGTGCCACTGATAAGGCCGGGGGCAAGGCTGTTGACTCGGATGTTCTGGGGACCCCACTCCACAGCCAAATGCCGCGTCATTGCATCTGCAAGGGAGGAAGACAGACATGAGGGACAATGCAGGGTTGCTCCGCTTTCTGCAGCAGCCTAGGTGGAAGTGGAGACTCAGGTGCAGGGCTGGTCCTCTCCACTGCCCATGCGGCCACTGCTGGCCTCCAGGGACAAGCTGGAGAAGAGCCCTAAGGAACCCAGGAGAACAGACCAGATGGGGTGCCGTACCCACGGCCGCCTTGGCAGAGCCTGCATGCACTTGGAGCACCTGCCCTCGGGTACCCAGGGTAGCTGTGATGTTCACAATTACTCCTCCATGATCCTGCAACACATGGCATTATTGGGGTGTCAGTGAGCAGAACACCAGAAGGGAGTCCCCAGCCAAGGGAATACTCACCCGGAAAAACTTCTTGTAGAGCACCTGAGACACATTGAATGTACCCAAGGTGTCGATGTCCATCACGGTCTTGAAGGCATTGAAGGACAATGCACTGGCTGGGCAAGGGAAGTTACCAGCCGCACCTGCAGGATAGAAGAAGTGGATGGTGCTAGAGCTCTGGGCAGTTAGAGCATACAGACTTCAGGGTGGTCCACGGTAGACAGGGAAGAAGGCTTGAGAGTGCTCTGACTCTGATTCAGCTGAGTTCACACTACAGTGACTTGGAAGGGGCAGAGTTGGGCCAAGGCAGTGGCCTGGAGCCTAGGACAGAAGTTCTGGGATTTCCAAGTAGGAAGGTCTGGTATTCCTGACTCATCAGAAAACCCCTGTCCTTGCTCAAAGTGACTCACAGTTTATGAGAATGTCAATTTTCCCAAACTCCTTCAGCGCCTGGTCCACAGCAGTCATGATGGCTGGGGGAGATCGAACATCCAGAGATAAAGGGAGACACCGCTGGCCAGTGGCAGCAGACAGCTTTTTGGCAGTCTAGAAGCCAGACAGGAAGAGAGAGGAGAGGTGGGCGGTGGCCAAGTAGCCTTGGCCTGGAGGGAACAACTCTTCAGAATCTGAGGAGGGCCCTGGCTGGGCAGCTTAGTTGGTTAGAGCATCGTCCTGATACACCAAGTTTGCAGGTTTGATCTCTGGTCAGGGCACATACAAGAAGCAGCCAATAAATGCATAAGTAAGCAGAAAAACAAATTGATGGTCTCTCTCTCCCTACCTCTCTCTTGGAAAAAAAAAAAAAAAAATCCAAAGAGTATGTGTCCAGGTTCTGCTGAGAAGCGAGGGTTTATTGCTGGATTCCAATCTTGGGAGATGCAGGTAGTGTGCAGCAATTCCCTGGGTCCACCACCCCAGTGGACATTTCTAAGACATTCAACACTCTCTTCTCTGCTACCTACCCTAGTTCCCTCCCTCCACATCACTTTCCAGGCCAATCTATTCCCTGCCCAGAGACCCGCTGTGGCATTGGTGAGACTCTCCTCCTGGGTGTGTGGAACACTTGTACCACTACTATAACCCAGGTGAACTCAGAGATCGCTCTTGGTGGCAGGACCACTCAACATGAGGGTCCTTCACAGGAAACAATATTTAGTTTTTTAAAAAACCCAGGGGTGTCCCTGGGAGGCAATTTCCACTGAAGCTCAAGATTTGGAAGAGGAGCAGATTTTGGTGTCAACATCATTTGGGCCTCAGAACCTTCCAGGCCCTGGCTCTGGTTCTCCACAGCCACTCATAGATGGGGTGGGCACAGGAGAGACCCCCTCACCATCAACAATCTCGGAAGGCTTCTGCTGGCGATGACTGTGTGGCAGCCGTGCCTGCAAAGCCAGAGGGCAGGAGTGAGTGTGGCAAGGTGGCAAGGTACAAGGGACACACCCATGTGGGCTCCTGCCCAGAGCTCTAAGCAGAGCTCCCTTCCCCCAAGGGCCTCTCAGGCTGAAGAACCAGCCCAGAACTGAAGGTACAGCTGGCAGAGGACACAGGGATCTAAGCAGGGCTGAGCCACTATGGTGGGACTTCAGGTGAGCGCCATCAGTCACACCCTCAGGGTTTGTGAGCTGGCCTCTCTGGTACTGGGATAAGGGGCCTGACCCAAAGTGGTGTAGGCCCTGCCCCAAACACCATGTGCATAGCACCGAAGCAGCTGTGAGCATCAGATGAGGGCCCAGGCATCTGCATGGGGCCTGCTGGGTCCACCAGCACAGCCACACAAGCCCCTGTCCTCTCTCTTTGATGTTAGACAGGACAGAGAGCCCATTCTGATGCCGGGGGCACCTGCCCTGCCTCACCTCCTGACAAATCAAGCCTCACAGTGGTAGTGGTAACAATAGCAGCTATCATCTGCTGAACAAGTTCTACCTACTCCTCAAAATGACCCTGATCAGCTAGTCATGCTCTGTTTAGAGAAGCAACATGCCGAAAGCCACTAGATCGGAAAACAAATTCATCCTGAAAGAATGAATCCCAAAATCTTGTCCAGTGGGACTCACTTCTCTGGTATGAAAGGTAGGGATCCAGGAGAAACTGGGGAGGGTCCCTAAAATAACAACAGGTTTTCTTTCCCCCAACTCCGGCCTAACTCTGGGCCTCTCTGGGGTTGAAGTGACAAGTTGCTGACCTGGGCCTGAGGCCACAGAACTTGTGTCTCAAAGGACTCTGTGCTCTGGTCCAACAGGTTCTTAGCCATGAACCTGGCTAAGTTCCCAGGGAACTAAGTTCCCGGCTAAGAGCCCCGGGGGCTCTGCAATAGAACTACTTCAACCTGTTGAACCCCCCTCTCTTTTGTATAAATGAGGGTACTGAGACCAGAGCCACACAGTCTCCACTAACCTGTAGGAGAGGGTCCTGGAGTCCTGCCTTGCCTAGGGCAGCACTAGACCCCTTTCAGGTGCTCTCCTACGTCTCATTGTCTAGAGGGGTTCCACACCCACCAGCTTCTTGGCCAGGAATCCCAAGATCAGCGGGGAGGTGTGAGAGTCAGTCTTGGGGGTAGGGTGAGATGATGGGCACAGAGCAAACAGAGCAGTGCTCACCGCATAAAAATCTCCGCAATCCGGAACCCTATTCCAGAGCCACCACCTGTGATGAAGGCTACTTTATCCCTGCGGGAAGAAAACAAAAGGCTCTTTAAAGATATCCCTGTTAACTGAGGAGTGGGGAAAGTCTGCGGCTCTGGAAGGACTTTGACCCTAGGAACTGGGCAGTTCTATCAAATTTAGACTGTTGACAAGAAATGTGAATGATTTTTGTAGGAAAATGAAACACTTGAAGCCTGCATTCTTAGGCTTTCTGGGTCTGGGAAATCAAATTTCAGACTAAAATTCTCTGCTCATAAAGTTGTCAATTAGGCGAATAATGTTTTAAAAACCTACAAGCTTTGCTCTGCCTGCCCCTCACTTCCACCCTCCCAAAAAACCGTTAGGAATTAACCAGCACTGGCCAAGACAAACAACGTGCTCTCAACAGGGCAAAGATCAAAATGCAGGAATACTTGTAAACACCGAACCCGGGTCCCATTCCCCCGGCACCTCCAGTCCCCGGCCCTGCTCTCCTGCACCCCCAGTTCCTGACACCGCTCCCCGAGACGCCCCGAAGGCAGGCCCGGATTCGGCCCTCACCGGAGCAGGTCGGGGCAAAAGAGGTGGCGGTACTCAGGGAGACAGTCGTCCTCATCGACATCGGGCGGCACCTGGGTCATGGCGCTCGATACAGACCCGCGGCAGCGAGAACAGCAAAAGCCTGCTTCGGATCAGAGAACCAGCCTCCACCACCCAGGCAAGCGGCGCTCCCGTAAGGTCACCTCTGGGCACCCACTGGGCCCAAAATTTACGGAGGACCTCCCCATTCGCCACCACCCCTCCCACAGAGGCCCTAGCTCCTCCCAGGACGCCCCACCCACTGCTGCCTCCTCGCCCTTCTCTGGACTCCCAGCCCGACCACCCCGCTAGCCCCACCCACAGCTGCCTCCCAGCTACTTCCAGGATGTTCCGCCCACTGCGGCCGCAATGCTTGCGGAGACTGGGGGCTGGCTGGTCTAACGCAGAGGAGCGGCGGGCGCAAGCGCAGTTCTGCAGGCGGATTTCCATGGCTGCCAGGTGAGCAGTCTTCGAAGCTGTCCACAAGACTAAGTCCTTCCCTCGAGATTGGGTGTCGGTGCCGTGGTTGGAGCCAGCTGGACACAGTCCACAGCGGACACTCGGTTCCCGGGTGAAGGTCAGGCTAGCGGCGGCCACCAGAGCCCCTAGGCTTTCCACACCGCCGCAGGCTCAGCATTGCATTTAAAACACCTGATGCCCTGACAGGTGTGGCTCAGTTGATTGGGCAGCGTCAGGCAAACCAAAATGTCGCTGGTTGGAATTCTGGTCAGGGCGCATGCGGAGAAAGCCTATAGCTGTTTCTCTCCCTTTCTACCTCCCTTCTCCTCTCTCTAAAGGAATTAAATTTAAACAAACAAATAAACAAACAACAGGCCCTGGCTGGTGTGGCTTAGTAGACTCAGTGCCGGCCTACGAACCGAGGGGTCGGCGGTTTATTTCGCAGTCAGGGATCATGCCCGGATTGTGGCCCCCCATTGGAGACGTGCAAGAGGCAACTGATCAATGTTTCCTTCCCTTCCCCGTCTCTCCAAAAATAAATAAATGAAACCTTTAAAAATAAAACACCTGGTTGTGGGTGGTGCTGTGGAAGGTGCTCACCGTGTAAACGCCCTCACCTCCCAGACACCGCCCTTCCGTTATATAAATACCAGAAGCGGGTAAGGAGACTCCAGCACAGAAAAGCCACGGAAAACGAAAGCCATTTGCCTCACTTGTCCAGCCCCAGTGCCATTTCCCAAAATGACCCATTTAGAGAGCAACAAATGTCAGGGCAAGGACCAGGGCATCCCTCATCAAGGAGACAAAAGAAAAATAAAATGGGGACCAAGACAGTCTCAGCAGGTGTAATGATGTGCAGTATCCAGTACCTTCACAAGTAGGGACACCTGGGGACCAGGAGTGAGGGGTGAGATATGGTGTCAAGAAAAAATGTGGACACCAGGCAGCAACAGGAAGACATGAAGAGGGAAGGAAGCCATGGTTAGCAGGCTTTTCGCCCTAAGAGTGTCCCTCAGCCTCCACCTCCCCAGCCACTCCTTCCTGCCACCCTCTAGTCCTGCCCAAGACAGGCGGCTCCCCCAGCAGAATCAGACCAGGTGGGGGCTGGGACAGCACCAGCTTCAGGGCCCAAGTTGGATTCCCCTAAATTTCAGGTTGGAGGTCTCTGGACCTCTGCCAAAGTCATACATTCAAGTTATTGATCCCCTACTGGTTTATGAGATGCTAAGCTTCATCTCTACTCTCAAACCTCTTACAGCTTTGCATAAAGGCCTCATTCATACTTAGCCTTAATAAGCACTCCACCTCCATGCACAGCACAATGAATTTTAATGTCTCCCCTTTGCGGGGGTAGGTTACACTACCCATTTTTGGAGACACCCCAAAAGTGGTCTGGCATTTTGGCATGGAAAGGATTTGATCTAATCTCTTGCTGGCTTAGAATACAAAAGGCACATAAAGTTGGCTCAGCTGATCTGTGCTGGGGCTGAAGGTGAATAGGGAAGTGGTCTGGGACTGGTGGGCAGAACACAGGGGTAGGCTCTGGGCTCAAGTCCTTGTGGACAGAGGTAGTTGGTCCTGAGTGGATGCTGGGGCAGCAGAGGGCATTCTGAGGCTCAGGCTGGGTAGAGGCTGCTGCAATGGCCTTCATCTGCCCAGTCCACCAGCTCATTGCTCTGGAACCACAGCTGGATCTCCCTCTGGGCCTCCTCCACCGAGTTGCTGGCATGGATGATGTTCCTGTGTCAGGTGATAGGTAGCAGAGGTAAGGTATAGGCTTCAGCATGCACCTTGGGGGTCCTGGGAATGGGTCTGCTGATTCCTTACTATCCAGAGGACTAAGCCGGATGATTATGCAGAGGAGAGCTAGGAAACTAGGTTGCAGCCTGACCTTGGCCTATTACCCACAACCTCATGGACCAGCCCAGACTGTTACTGGGATTCTCATTTTCCCACCAGTCCTCCCTTGGCATATCTGGCAAGCTACAGAGTCAGATAATAGACAGTGATGGCAAAGTACTTACACAACACACAGAGAATGCTTTATCTCCCTGAAACTAGCAAATAGGTTGATGTCCCACCACCAAAAGTCTCTTGAATTTACTTTCATCCAGCAAGACAACAAGCTTGTGGCTAAATGTGTCAGGGCCCCTGTACCTGCTAATGTGGAAGCTGAAGTCTCCGCGAATGGTGCCGGGGGCAGCCTCAGCTGAGTCAGTGTGTCCTATCATGGCCCTTGAGGTGCAGACCACATTGGGGCCTTCCCAGACCTGCGGCGCAGAGATAAAGGTTGGGAATAGTGGAGGTCACCAAGGGCTCAGCAGCTCTGGGCTCAGTCCAGGGTCTTCTACCCCTTCCACTAGGCCATACCATGGCCACGACGGGGCCGGAGCTCATGTAGCTGATGAGGGCTGGGTAGAAGGGCTTCCTTCGAAGGTCGTGATAATGCTCAGCAAGGATGCTCTCTGGTGCCTGGATAGCATTGGGGGAAAGAATGAAAGCAGCGCCTGGAGAGGCAACCCCACTGGGCACAGGGGTAATGGCTTTACAGATAACACCTACATGGGCTGGTACACCAAACAGCAGTACAGGACAGATACCACTTCTCCATCCCTCCCTTTCTACTTCTAACAACAGGACACTCCTCCTGAAGCAGGGCTAAGACACGAAGGGCTCAGGTCCAGAGCTCTGTGAGAAGCCCTACCCTTAGTGCCCTGAGGGACACCCACAGGCCAAAAGTCCTGTTACCTGAAGCATCTTCATCCCCACCAGCTTGAAGCCCCTCCTCTCAAAACGCCGGATCACATCCCCAACAAGCCGCCGCTGCACCCCATCTGGCTTCACGGCCACCAGGGTCCGCTCCCGGGTCCAGGAGGGCCCTCCTTTAGAAGAGGAGGGGTCAGGGATGCTGCCTCACCCTTTCACATCTCCCGACCTGTGTTCCCCTGCCAGGACCCAGATGTCATCTGGGCTTCAGTGTCTGCCTTCACCAGAGCAGCTCTGGAGGGGAGAAGTGAGGTGGCCACAGCCTGAGCTGCCCAGTATGGTGCTGCTTGTCAGGGACGACTGGGGAACTGGATTCCTGGGGGCTTCCAACCTGTCTGAGGGGCCATGGCTCCTCCCAGGCACTAGCAGAAGCTGCCCATGATGGAGATGTCTTCTGAGCAGGCAGGAGAGGCTCAGGAAGGCACAGAGATGCCACAATGGAAAGAAAGCACAATTCTTGGCTTCACTTTTGACTCCTGTCCTTGGGGGTGATGGCACAGACACTGTCTGAATCTCTACCTGCCACACCACCAGGAACCCAGAGCCTGTCTTCTGGGTCTAATGGGAAGCAATATCAGGGGAGAAGTGTAATATACCCCCTCCCCCTACCAGGTAAGCCAAGGACACCAGGACCAAAGGGACCCGGGGATTGAAAAGGAAGGTAAAGGGGTTCCTGTCTACAGGTAAGGGAATCTGAAGGGCTTCTCTTCTTATACCTACTGGCCAGGCAGGAACTCTATACTGCTGTGGGATTTCAAGGCAGGCAGCTTCCAGACCCAAGGAGAGAGCACTGAGTACTGCCCCAACATAGCCAAGGAGACCAGAGGCTACATCGCCCTCCAACAGCCCCAGGCCACTTCTAGAGTTACACAAACCCTCAGCTTGGAATCCAGGGTCAAATTGAGAAGAGCCCAGACCCTGAGTGTCCTGCAAAGTCCTTCAAAGACAGAACTGGTAGAGAAAGGAGAGTAGGGCTGAGGCTAGACAGCATCTCTGGGAACATCTGCAGCTGCCATTTGTCATCCTCAGGATGAAAATTAACCAAAACCTGTGCTGTGGGTGACCACCACATCCTTTCAGGGCTGAATGAGGGCCACTGGGGGAATCCCCCCTGGCTTGTTTGATCCCCGCAACCCAGTGCCTAGGGGACCCCTGTCTAGCCTGGCCTTGCAAAATGCCAATTCACTCTTCCCAGCATTAGGAACACCATGACATCTGGCTCCTGGCTAGGGTGGAGGGCTCCTTACAGATAGGGGCTCCAGGGCCCCAATTAGGTTCGGGCCAGGACTTAGGGCCTGGAGAAAACGCCCCAAAGACAGTGGTTCTGTGGGAGGGGTTTTCATTTGCTGAAAACTGACTTCCCTCTCAGGAGCCCCAAGTCAGCAGGGACCCTACTTATCACCCAATGTGGCCACCAGGCCTCTGGCTTCCTTCAGCTCCCGGTTCCTCTGCCCCGAGGCAAACCCGAGGGGGCTTGCGGGGCTGGAGGGCAATGAAAGGTGAAGGGCAAGAGTGAGATGTGTGGACCCCAGCCACGGACAGGTGACGGAGGAGAGCGAGCGCAGCGCGCCGCTCCCCGACCTGCAGCTCCCCAAGGCTTCCCAGCGAGTCAAGCGGACTATGCTGCGGGGCTCCTGCGAACCGCCGCCCCCCCACCCCCGCCCAGCTGCCCAAGTGCCAACCAAGGGTGGGAAGCACCTCCCACTGGCCCCCTCCTCCGACTCACCAGAGTTGGGGCGCACTAGCAAACTGGAGACCGGGGCCCGCAGACCGCACAACAGCCTCCGCAGCGCTAGGCGCCCTAAGAGGCCAGTCATGGCGCCCGGCCCGCGGGCGCTGCCTGAACGCTGGAGGACCGAGCAGGATTAAAAAGCTTCGAGGGAGGGAAGAAAGAGAGGAGGGGCAGAGGAATGGGGGAAGAAAGAGTGGAGGGGCGGAAAGCGAGATGGAGGAGAGAAGGGAGGAAGGGGAG